CCACTCATGGTGCCTCATGTGTGTCAGAGTAGAACTGTGCTCACAGGGTTCTCAGTGGATGATGTTTCATAAGTAGATTCCACTCATGGTGTCCCTATGTGGTCAGAGTAGAACTGTGCCCCACAGGGTTCTCAGTGAATGATGTTTCATAAGTAAATCCCACTCATGGCGCCCCCGTGTGGTCAGAGTAGAACTGTGCCCACAGGGTCCTCAGTGGATTTTTCTGAAGATTGCCTAGTCTTGATGCCAATGCACCTCTCAGAAAACTCAAATCTGTATCCTTTCAGTTGGCAGTGAAGTATGTTAACCATGTATACCACCTGAAGGCATCCCACTGAAGGTAGAAGACGAGTTAAATAGGCAGAACTGTTGTCTTTTATCAGCATTAAGGCCAATGACCCAATCTGCTTCCATCAAATTGATTCCAACTCACAGGACACGGTACAGAGCTTCTGAGGTTGTAAATCTCTGTTGGTGTTGTTAAGTGCCGTCAAGTTGGGTTGCGATGTATAGTGACCCCATATAGGGTTTCTGGGGTCTTAAATCTTTACAGGAACAGAAAGCCTCATGTTTCTCTCTAGAAGTAGCTGGTGGGTTTGAACTACCAACCTTGTGGTTAGCAGTCCAGTGCTTATCCTACAGAGTCACCAGTTCTCATTAGGGTCAATGGCAGAATTGAGCAAATGACACCTGCCGGATCTTACAAAGTCGGCTTCAGAATGGAGGAATAAACACTGTTGCCCATAGTGGAGATATTATTAGTTTTTTTAACATAGATTGTCTAGTCTTCTCAATCTCTTTCTGCACTGGTTCTGAATCAGATGAAATAGAATCCTTCAAACTGAAAGTTAGTGTTGAAGAAAAGCAGACATGTCATACTCGTATCATCTCCCGTGCGCATTACTGCATTACTGACATGTAAGGTCAATCAGTGTTCGCATAGCATGCCAAATTGCTGGAACCAGCTTTTACCTCTGACATAATCTGTACCCATCAAGGTCCTTGGTCTGACCATTTGGATGGACAAGCTCCTATGCTGGCACTCAACCTGTAGATGAAAGGTGGACTGCTCCAACTGACCCAATAGTACCACAAACTAAAACCTGGCAACCTACCTCTGTACATGTTGTTGATTTTGTTGGATGCTATCTTAGGCTGTGACTCTTGTTCAACCATTTCAAGAGGTAGCATGTGATCAAGAGCCAATGATACTGAAGGAGGAAGTCCAAGGTGCATTGAAGGAATTGGTAAAGAACAAGGCACCAGGAATTGATGGAATAAACATTGAAATCTTTCAAGAAAGTGAGGCAGCACAGGAGGCACTCAATCATCTCTGCCAAGAAATTTGGAAGACAACTATCTAGCTGACTGACTGGAAGAGATCCACATTTGTGCCCATTCCAAAGACAGGTGACCCAACGGAATGTGGAAATCATCGGACAATCTCTGATATCCCATGCAAGTAAAGTTTTACTAAAGGTAATATAGAAACAGCTGCAAGCATACAATGACAGAGAACTTTCAGAGGCTCAAGCTGGATTCAGAAGAGGCAGAGGAACGAGGGATATCATTGCTGATGTCCGATGGATCTTGGCTGAAAGTAGAGAATATCAGAAAGATTTACCTGTACTTTATTGACTATGCAAAGGCTTTCAATTGTGTGGATCATGACAACATTGAGAAGTATGAGTATTCTGGAACACTTGATTGTGCTCATGAAGAATCTGTACCTGGACCAAAGGGTAGTTGTTCGAACAGAACATGGGACCACTGAATGTTTTAAAATTAAGAAAGGTGTGCGACAAGGTTGTATTCTTTCACCGTACTTATTCAACCTAAAGCTGGGTTATATGAAGAAAAACATGGCATCAGGATTGAAGGAAGACTCTTTAACAACCTGCGCTATGCAGATGATACAACCTTGCTTGCTGAAAGTGAAGAGGACTTAAAACATTTACTTATGAAGATCAAAGAGCACAGCTTTTGGTATGGATTACATCTCAATGTCAAGAAAACAAAAATCCTCACCACTGGACCAATAAACAACATTCTTATCAGCGGAGAAAAGATTGAAGTTGTCAAGGACTTAATTCTTCTTGAATCAACTATCAACACTCACGGGAAGCAGCAGTCAAGAGATCACATGACATATTGCATTAAGCAAATCTGCTGCACAAGACCTTTTTAAAGTGTTGAAGAGCAAAGATGTCAGTTTGAGGACTAAGGTGCACCTGACCCAAGCCATGGTATTTTCAATAGCCTTATACGCATGTGAAAGCTGGATAAGGAAGCTGAATAAGGAAGACTGTAGAAGAATTTATGCTTTTGAGTTATGGTGTTAGAGGAGAATGTTAGAAGTGCCATGGGCTGCCAAAAGAACCAATAGATCTGTTTTGGAAGAAGTGCAGCCAGAGTGCTCCTTGGAGGCCAAGATGGCCAAACTTCGTCTCTCATACTTGGGACATATTGTCTGGAAGGAGCAGTCATTGGAGAAGGATATCATGTTTGGGAAGGTAGAGGGTCAGAGAAAAAGAGAAAGACCACCAACGAGATGGATTGGTCAAGTGGCAGCATAGATGGACTCAAGCGTGGCAACAGTAGTGAGGTTGGCCCAGGATCGGGCAGTGTTTCATTCTGCTGTGCATAAGATCACTACGGGTCTATACCAACTCAATGGCACCTAACAACAACAATGTCTTAGCCTGTGTTCCTTAGAAAAGCAAAACCAGTGAATTTTATACATGTGCGTACATAAAGAGAAGATTGTATCACAGAAATGGCTCACAATTATAGAGATAGGAGGGTCCCAAGTTTGGGTCAACTGAGTCAGGATCCTCAGGCAGGGCCAACAAGTAGACACCCAAGTCCATGCCAGGTGAACCAAGATTGGTGGGCCGGCCCAGAAGGCAGACAAACGATAGAGCAGACCACTGGATCAGGTCCAAAAAACCGAAGGTTGGAAGCTAACCCAGATGGAGACCGGAATCCAGCAGAAAGGAGAGCAAGCTTTCCCTGCTTGCCCACTCTATTGTGAGCAGACCAACCCCCCCAGGAAAACAGCCTTTCAGGTAATTGGATGTTCATAGCTAATTCTCATAGAGTCAATTATGCCTGCTCACTGCCAGTCATCATAGAGCTAGCTATGTCTGTACTAGATCTTACTATGGGGATAAGCCCATCTCGA